AAAGGAATTCATCCGTCTAAGCTATACAAGATTTAGATGTCGATCTCGCGGCAAGATTGGTTGTCCAATGGCCTTGTACAACGGCATCTCTTGTTTTTTTAGCATGCAAGATTGATAATGGCTAGCAGTACGCACGTGGAAGATTGATCCATTTGAGAAACCTTGCTAAAGTCTATCATAGCAAAACAGCCGGCCAAATTGCTTCCTATCAATTTTGCATAGAGAAATATATATGAAGCCCCTGCTGAAATTGTATTAGCCAAAGCGCATACATAATTATAGAAAGTTGCATTCAACACCGTAAGTTGCTAGCTAAAATCCATCTTTGACGGGCTAGTCTTACTTGCCTCCATGGTTGTCACTTCGAACCTGTTAATGTCATAGGTGCTCAATTTTTGTGGCTAGCTTTTGGTGCCTCATTGCACACTATTGTCGTGATCCAGGATTTCTCCTAATTCTAAATATGGTAGGTGAACCTGCATTTCCTCCGCAAGATACATGTGAATGAATTTGTCCTGGTAACCAACGATTGGGTGTTTGGTTCCAGTGATTAAAGTTTAGTCCCTGTCATATCGAATATTTGAACAATAATTTCGAGTACTAAATATAGACTATTAACAAAACTAATTACACATGTGGAGACTAATTTAAACCCAATTGTTGCCACCCTCATATCGAATACTACATGACTTTTCACCCATTCTCAACATATCCATATCACAACATAACGCTGTTGCCTATAAATTGGAGCTGGCAACATCCATTCAAGATGCACCTCTCAACACAAAACCAAGAAACTTAGCTAGGTAACCAGGCAGGTCTCAGCAGCCGGAGGTGGAAAATGGAGGGAAAGAGGATTACCACTTTGATGGTGATCATGTCCTTGCTCATCTTGAGCATCTCTGTGAACTCGGCTACGGCGGCAGAGTGCAGCTGCTGCATATCCTCCCGGGCAAAAGCATGTTGTTTTGCTTGTATTGCTGCTGGTGGCTCTGACACAATCTGCAAGAACACTTGTTGTTTCCCTTGTCTTCTATCGGATTCCGGTAAGTTCACTAAACTCAATCTGTTCACTGCCTTTGATATATGTACATTCAAGCTTTGTATCATATATATTGTGGACACTACTAGAGAAATGACTTTCGGTTTGCACTTTTAGCCTCGGTTGTGTCTTCACGGGCACCAAAGGCCCTTTTATCCTGGTTGGTAACATCCAACTGGGACTAAAAGCCATCCTTTATTCCCGGTTGGTATTACCAACCCGAACTAAAAGTTCTCCAACCTTTTGTCCCGGTTGGTAACATCAACCCGGACTAAAGGATGACCTTTTAGTCCCGGTGAGTGCCACAAACCCAGATTAAAGGTCTCCCACCTGGGACTAAAGGTCCCCCACGGGTGAATTCAAAAGGAGAGCGCCCATGACTTTGTCAGATGTGGTGTGCAGTTGAGTTGGTAAGGAAGCTACGTGCGAGGCAAGGGGTCTTGGGTTCCAATCTCTCGCACTGCAAGAGAGGTCTCCTAGGATTTAAACTATTTTTTTAGTTTCAAGGATGGGCTTAGTCCCGATTGTGTGACCCGGGACCTCCTTTAGTCCTAGATCCGCAATCCGGGTTGGGAAACCGGGACTAAAACCAGTTCCCAACCGGGATTGAAGCTCACCTGTGTACTAGTGGGACTAACACATATGTGGCCTTCTATGCAATATCGTTAATGTACTTTTGTTGACTTCACGTCCCATCTCACAACTTCAAGCGTATTACTTGCAACAAGAAGACATCTTATACTATATTTCCATTGCAAAATTAACTCATGCGCTAATAGTATTTCCATATTTAATTTGACAGTGGTTGCTAAGATGGAAGAAATGGCAGCAGTTCCTAAGATGGAAGAAGGACAAGCCTAAAACGTTATGCTTGCATTGCTACCAGCATATGGATGCCATTCATATGCATATGTTGCTTTGCTTCAAGCTATGGCCAAGTTATGTTAATGTTTATCTCCAATAAATTGTTGACCGTATAAGGCAACCTCTAGTCAATCCATCCGTTGGTCTCAACTATTTGAATGGCGTGCATGTGTGTGGGTGTGTGCGCTCACAAGCCTATTTATTTCCTCTTGATGCTTGTAATGAGGCCATAGACACTTTCCACCGTTGTATGTGTTATGAACGGCCTAATATGTATATGTATTGTCTCTGGCCTTAGCAATTTTATTGGAACATGATTATTATTATATGTGTATGCATGATATTTACTTAATTTATTCTCCGAAGATTTTTTATGTTTTTGTTAGTTTTGTACTATGGGAGATAATTAAGATGGTCGTGGCAAATAGGGTTCCCAATCCTAGTAGGAAAGCCAAAGGGGAAGTAAACTTGGTCGATTTTTGGGATGCTAGCACCTTCCTTGTGTTCTCAGACTCGGGAGACTTGGTGTTAGGGGAACAGTACAACAATCTAATGGTGGTACAGTTGAGAAAAGCAGCATTAATCACAGCGACGAAGGGTCCGCTAAAAAAAACTAGGACAAAGAGATGTTGCAGGATGTTTTTCACACTATCTGGTTGAGCTTCACTTTTTGCAGAGCTGGCATGTTTCTCAAGCTGGCGTGTATGGAACTTCTGGTGTCCACTCGCTTATATCAATTATTTTGCCGCATATTCGAAAGACTTAACTACATATCCGGTTAATCCTTAGCTTTGATTTTGGTGTTGATCACAATAGGGGCATTGAGAAACTTGGTGGTGACAGCATGTGCGGCTGTCCTATCACTCATTCATCCTTCTCTATTGCTATGGCTATATCTTACATGTCTGTGCTGTCCCGGAGGAGAATCCTGTCTTGCCTTTCTTGTTGGAGAGGACAATGTTAAGTCAGCCCCAGTGGATCTGAGCCAGGTCTCTTTTAAGGGCTTGTGGGTCATCTTGGTATACAACATCACTGAGAACAATCCATCAGCTTCTTCGAGTGGTCCACATGGTTCATATTCTTTAGCACAGTAGCTGTTAAAAAATTTATCTTCTTGAGTCTCTTAATGCACCAGAAGAACCCGTCGCATGCCACATTTATAGCTTCTAATTGTACTTCCCTCTCTAATCACATATATATCATTGTATCATTTATCCTGTTTGGATTCATGGCTTTTTCCATGCATTCCGGAAAAGTATTAGCACTATTACTGCTCTGAGTCCTGCTCCAAGCACTATTACCATCTCTCCTTCCTGTATGTCGATAGTAGTAGCAGCGGTTCTAGATCCGGACCGGCAGATCCAACCTCGAGCTCGACTCCTCGCTTCGTCCCCATGCCGCAGCATCCTCTTCCCGCTTGTCGCCACTACCTCTTGCTACCACGGCCAAGTACTTCCAGATCCCCGATGTTCCCAAGAACGCCGCCCAAGATGGCCTCAAAAAGTCCAACAACAAGACCGCCATCACGAACCACCCCGAAAAGGCCCGTGAAATACGTGAGCCATCAAGTGGAGCATTCAAGGATGGTACTTACAGAGATGCTCCATGATGGAGCCCTGCCGGTCTCGGGCTTCGCGTCTGATTTTTTGCTTGATGGGGCGCGCGCCGGGACACACCACCAGATGGTGCTCGATCACCTCCCTTGGGACCCTGGGAAGGTCTGACGGTTCCCAAGCGAACACGTCAGAGTTTTCCTGGAGGAAGGCGACGAGCACGCTTTCCTATTTGGAGGAGAGCTTGGCGCCGATGGTGACGGAGCAGGTCGCGTCATATTTTATTACCAGGATGAAGAGACGTTACCTTGGTCTTGATTAATCATCTGCCTCGGTTATTCTCCTCTAGATCAAACATGCATGTGTCCACCTCCAGATCCAGATGAGGCAGAGGAAACTGCAATCCCTGAGATTTTAGGGCCAAGATCCAACCCATTCTAAAGTTCAGGGAAGAGGACGGGCCAGCTGCTTACCGTGGCGCAGATAGAGATCCACTCCAGAGGCCACGTCTAGAGGAGAGATGCGAGGATGAGGCCGACGCCGTGAAGCTCCGGCCATGGCATCACGCATCGTAAGGAGGAACGGATCTGGCGTGGAGCCGCCTCTCCACTCATCAACGGGATTCGACATGCGTGATGGGAAGAGCACGGGTCTGTGCCGTGGTCACCATCATGAGCTCTACACGCGAGGGGCCGGGACGAGGGTTGAGATCTGCTGGCTGCCATCCCCGTCGCACGTGGTCACGTGACCATCCACGTCGGGCGAATGGGATCAGGCGATGGTAGCGGCTGGTCGGAGGAGCGGGTACCGTTGCAGTCACATGCACGATCTCAGTCACGGCACGGCGGTGCGGGACGCTGGGCACGCCGGCCGAGAACGTCGGGCGCTAGGCAGCGGAGCAGCAGCGGTGGTAGGGCGAGGGAGCGGACGGGCGGTGGCGGTGGTGGTGTGGGAAGGAGCGGATCGAGCGAACGGGAGCTAAGAAAATGAAACCGCAAAAAAAGTGGGGGGACAAGCTGAGATACCAGCTGGCCGAATAAAGTGGGCGGTCCTGTGCGATCGGAGGGACCGGGTGAGCGCCCGTGGCTCGTGCCCGGTGATTTAGGTTCGGTGGTTTTGACTCGGGTACTAATTATTATTCAGTAGCGAGGGTAATACATAGATATATATATATATATATATATATATATATATATATATATATATATATATATATATATATATATATATGAATGTTTTATTGAAATGTTGTGATCCAACCTTTTCTTTTCTAGGTGCTTGGTCTTTATTGATGATGTACAGCAACTACAAATGTGGAAAGAAACAGTAGACGCTTGCCCACTAATTGGCAACAAAAGCAGAATAATTGTGACAACGAGTGTTCGCCCTGTGGCCACAGCCTGCAGCTCTAGCAGTTACGTGTACAGCATGCAGTGTCTTAGCGTTGATGACTCAGATAGCTTGTTTTGGAGAAATGTTTATGGCAAACAAAGGGAACCTTCCTTTTCTGTTGCAGCTGCTTTAGAAAGCATCTTTAGAAAATGTGGTGGTTTACCACTGGCACTGACTACTGTAGCCAAACATTTATATCTGAAAGAGGGAATGATCTGAACAGTCGGCACTTTGAAGATGTAGGACAAAACCTTGGCAAACACTTCCTGCTAAGTAACAACAATGCAGCCATGAGCGTCTTTAAGGGAATGAGAAGAGTGCTTAGGCAATGCTATGATAACCTGCCAGACTATGACCACAGGTTCTTCTTGCTGTACCTGAGTATATTTCCCAGGGGCCATCAGATTAAGAGGAAGAGCCTAGTGAGAAGATTAAAAGCTGAACGGTTGGTCGTCAATGAAGCATGTAAATGTTTCGATGAGTTCATTGACCGGTGTATCATTAAGCCTGTGCATATTTTCAACAATTCTGTAGTTGTCAAAAGCTGTCAAGTTCACGATCTTGTGCAGGAGTATATCATTCAAAAGTCATTTGATAAAAATGTGGTCACTTTGATTCAAGGGCCTGACACCCTGCTTAAAGGAAATACAGGGGGCCCTGTCTGCCGACTCTCTGTTCAGTCCAGCACCAAAGAAAGATTTCATGAACTTGAAGACGGATCCGCTTCTTTAAGGTCGTTAAGCATTTTCAATAGTGAGCCTTTTGAATTACGGAGCTGCATGATGATGCGAGTCCTTGATCTTGAAGGTTGCACTGGGATTGACAATAGATTTCTTCGGGGCATTTGTAAATTGCTCCTTCTCAGGTATCTCAGCCTCAGGAAAACCAGCATCGACGAGCTTCCCCGACAAATTGAGAAACTTGAATGTTTGGAGACGCTCGACATCCGAGACACAAATGTGAAAAAATTGCCCATGAAGGTCATCATGATGCTGAAGCTTGCTTACCTGTTTGGGAAGTTTCAGCTACCGGACGTTCCCAACAGCCAAGCACAAAATAAACAAGCTTTCGGACTTCTTGCAAAAGAAAAGTGTACTGCACACTCTTTCTGGATTTGTTGCCAACATGAGACATGGTTTGGAACATGTCATACTCTTCGCCAGAAAGCTGAAGAATGTTAAAGTATGGTGCAACGATACAACTACTGCTGATACCCCAATACGCATTTCTGTTCCTAAGCATTCTTCAAACCGTTCACAAAGTAAAATAATGTGGTGTACAAAAAGAATGGAACATAACCGTCGAAATGTGGCGATCTTTGATTTTATCAGGATTCTTGAGACGCGCTCCAAAACTCTAGAGTCTGTTTCCATGGTTTCTACTGGACTTTGCCAAGACTTCCTGGGCTCTCTTGAGGGACCATGCAGCATCAGTTCTATCAAACTGCAGGGAAATTTAGACAGACTGACTGCTTCTGACAAGTTAAGTGAGCTTGGTAGAATTAAGAAGCTGCAACTCTTCTCAACTGGTCTCACGATCAAGGAACTATCTGTCTTGAAATACTTACGTGGCTTGGAATATCTGAAGCTGGTAGAGTATAGTGATAGATTTTGCAGTGGCATTTTCATTGTGGAGAAAAAGGGATTCGAAAGCCTAAACAGACTGTGCATCGAGGCCCCCATGCTTCCCAGAATGCAATTCAAAGAAGGATCTATCGAAAGTCTAACGCCCCTTCACTTTCTTTGTCCAAATTCCAAGAAGCAACCATCCGAAACCGTTGAGGGCATCCCACATCTTGCAAGTCTCGCTGAGGTGATGCATAACAGATCTATGCAGAAAGATTGGGAAACAGTAGCCAACGAGAACCCTAACAGGCCGCGTGTGAAGAGGCAAGGGGAATAAACTACCAATACAGCATCATATATGTTGTCGTGGTAGCAGCACATGTTCATCTCTTTTGTTTAATTATTCTGTTCTATTTTCTGATCTTCGTTTTCATGGATATGGTCGGTATTTGCATTCAATAATTTGTGAGGCTGCGTATTGAACTCTGAGTATATGGTGCATTATATAACTTTGTAATTTTGTAATGTATACAAATGTTGTATTTCTAATATCGTTTGTGATCAAAAATTACGTTGTAATGAGATTAGCACTGCAAAATGATAAGCATAATTGCATTTATTTATGTGCATGTGTAGGAATTGTTGCATGGACAGATGCTGAGTTAAATTGCACTACTGGAAACACGTGCTTTGCCGAGGGCCTGAGGCTTTGCCGAGGGCCAAATCTCGGGCACTCGGCAAAGACACTCTTTGCCGAGGGCCAGCCACAGGAGCCCTCGGCAAAGAACGGCCCTCGGCAAAGAGGCCTTTGCCGAGGGTACGGCCCTCGGCAAAGACAGGCCCACGGCAAATCAAATCTTTGCCGAGGGCCGTGGCCCTCGGCAAAGATGCCCTCGGCAAATTAGGCCCGTTGGGTCACGGCGGCCATTTCCCGTCAAGCTTTGCCGAGGGCCACCCGTTAGGCCCTCGGCAAAGGTTTTTTTTATGTGAAACTAGTTTTTCGGCCAAAATTTTTTTTATAAATCGTCTTTGCCGAGGGCCCAAGGCTAGGCCCTCGGCAAAGAAGCCCTTTGCCGAGGGCCAGGATTGGCCCTCGGCAAAGATTTTTTATTTTTTTAAAAAAATTCTTTGCCGAGGGCCACGGGCCAGGCCCTCGGCAAAGAGCCCTCGGCAATTTTTTTTTTTGGTTTTTTTAGCCCAGTTTTTTTGTGGAGCTACAATACATTGTTTTGAACTCAATTTTAAAATTTAGGCAAATTTTGACTTTTTTTGTATATTTCCTTAATTTATTTCGATTCTTTGATTTTTTTCGAATATGTCAAATTTAAAGCTGCAGTGCATGGAATATTGCAATGTAGTGTTTGAAAAATATTATTCATGTTAATTGGTGCATGTTGAGTCCCTATCCACGAACTCGCATCAAATTCGCGCATCTTGTTAGCGTAAAATGACGACTTGCGAGAAAAGTGTTTTTAAAATTATATAAAACCGAAGTCCGAAAATCACGAAACTTGGTGAGATGTCATGTGCATATTGTCAACAATTGAGAAGGTTCTGAGTTATGCTCTGCGGACATCTTGTCAAAAGGCATCCGACGTTCACGAAACCTTCTCAATTTTTACCACAGCCTACACATGCGATAACATGACACCTCGAAAGTTTTGTGATTTTAGATCGTATGAATTTTATATAATTTAAAAACACTTTCCGACAAGTTCATCGTCATGTTACGTGAAGAAGGAAATTTGATGCAAGTTCGTGGATAGGGACTCACATACACCAAATATCATGAATAACATTTTCAATCACTAAATTGCATTATTTCATCCACTGCATTTAAATTTAAAATATTAAAAAAAAAAATCAACGAAAAAGAAATAAATTAGGAAATATATATAAAAAAAAAGTCAAAATTGGTCCAAATTTTAAAATTGAGTTTCAAATAATGTATTATAGCACCAAAAAATTGGGTTCAAAACAAAAAAAATTCATTGAGGGACTGACCAATGACCCCTCGGAAAGAAAATAAAAAAAAATAAAAAATCTTTGCCGAGGGCCCTGGATCTGGGCCCTCGGCAAAGGGCCCAACCCTAAATCGGCCAGCGGTCTGGCCCAAAATCCCCGCCCACATTTCATCTTGAAGGTTGCACTGGGCGCCGCCGCCTCGACCCGACGAACCTCCAGCGCCCACCGACGCCGCCCCATCGCCTGCAGAAGCCGCCCGGCGCGCGCTGCCTCCCCTCCCGTCTCGGTCGAGCAAGGGAGCTCGGCCGCCAGAGCCTCCTCCGGCGGGCCTCGCGACGGCCTCCCGCCCCCGCGCTGCCTTCCCGAGCCGCCCCGCACGCGACCACCGCCGCCGCCCGCCGACGCCGACGCCGAACGCCGACCGCAGGTCCGCAGCAACCACTCGCGGATACTACTGCCTCCGTCCCCCGCTGCACCCGCTGCTTTTCGTCTCCGCGCAGTCGTCCGATGGCCAAGCGGCTCGCCGCCGCCGAGAAAGAGGTAGGGGCATCCCGCCACGCCAGCAGCACCCGAACTGGGCTAGCCTCCTCATTTCGCTCACCCGTTTGGTCTGCGCCAGGTGCTAATCGAGGTGGTGAGGTTCACGCAGAAGAACGGCCTGAGTGGCTGTGACGGCGGGTGGAAGGATTTCCTGGCCCGGAACGACAGGAAGTTTGGCGCGTCGCTGAGCGACCCCAGGAAGCGCACCAGGGATGTGCTGCTCGCCTTCGTGCAAACCTTCTACAAGGATTTCCAGAAGGTTGGCTACTCTTTTGTTTTCTTCTTCACACTTCAGTTCAGCATGCCTGGTTTCACTAGCAGCTGCTGCAGTCTATAAGCGGCTTGGTAGTTGGTACTGGTTAGTACTGGTGTTGATAGTTAAAACGTCCCAACATTTTGGTTCCAGTACTTCGGCAAATTGGTGAAGCGTCATAAGGAAAGAAGTGCCGTTCAGCAGTATATGACTGATTTTCCTGACGAAGTTTCTCCCGAGCAGGTGATATGTATGCTAGATCATGCCATTTGAATTTGTGCATTACATTGAATAGGACTGACGCCTGGGTGTCAAGCATCAGTTGATCAACAATTGTATTGATGTGCATGCTAAATGCAGAAACTTGTTCAACTGACGGCAGAGCACCCGGAGTACAGAAAACACTATTGCTTCCCATCATACCAGGAGGTATGAGCTTTACTGTGCTTCTGTTAATCCACGAATGATGATTAAGCCCTTTTTGGATTGTATAGTTTCCTTGGTGATCTTCCTTTGATATATCCTATTCATGATTTAATGACGAATTCTTAAACAGTGTAGTCCAATAATCTTCATGATTGCTAATACTCTGCCTAGAGTTGCACCTTATCTTGTACTCTTCACAAAGGCATGCATTTTGCTAGTCAAAATTCTAAAACAAATGACTGATTTATACTCTCATCCCCACAATGGATGAACCTTTTGTATCCACATTGTTTGTCTCATAATTGATAAAAAAAGAAACAAACAATGAGACCGATCCATAACTAGCTATTACTGGTATTTTCTGGGGTGGAAAGTACTGCGGATAGGAGAAGTCTCTAGTTTAATGAGCTCAAGTGCTATGTTGGCAATTGACTGTGAGATGGTCCTTTGCAATGATGGCACAGAGGCTGTGGTCAGAGTGTGCGTGGTAGATGACAAGCTCAAGGTACTAGATTATTTAGTCAGAACAAGTATGTTAAAATTCATGGAACTATCGTGTGCATTAATGGACATTGCTGTAATGTTAGATGAATTCAATAAAGTTTCTGTCAAAACTTACACAATACATATTTCCTTAGCATTTATTGACTATGAATCAATGAATCATGTCAGGGATTTCCATCTTTGTTCCAAGGTCTCACCATATTCTCTCTTTTCTTCTCCAGGCTAAGTTGGACATACTTGCAAACCCCTTGAAGACTATAACTGACTATAGGACACACATCACTGGTGTATCAAAGAAGGATTTAGAAGGAGTCACATCATCATTAGTTGATGTTCAGGTATATTGTCTTTAACATCTAAGCATTTTCTCTGAATATTATCTCATGGAAGTTATATCCCTTCTCTAGAAATCGCTGAAGAGAATGTTATCCAAAGAAAATATTTTGATTGGCCATAGCTTACATAGAGATTTATGCGGTAAGGTGTGGTTATTTTGTGTCGGATCTATCTGATGTATCAATCGGATCTGTACTTTGTGTTTACTTGAACATGCTTCTTTTTTGTTTTTAGTACCATTTAATTCAATTCGTCTCATTCTCTTCTCTTTTGCAGCCTTAAAGATTGATTACTCTCAAGTTATTGATACAGCATACATATTTAAGTATGCAAATTTACCTACTACTGCATCACCTTCCTTAAAAAGTTTGTGCAAGGTATTGCCATAAAGTCACAGCACAGCATCTGTCTTCTTATCTGCTTTTGTTTACTGAGGTGAACAAGTTTTGGCCGATGGTGCCAGTTAAAACTTAGTTCAGGATAGTGATTGCGAACCCACTTTGTCTTCCCTATTTCTCCCCCGAGTTTTGTACGCTTGTACTTGATAGAACTATATGTAGGGTTGTCGTTGTAATATATTGTGATTTGTGGTTCACAATTATGGTTGTGATATATTGTGAGAAAATGGGTTCTGTGTGATATATATATGTGATGGTTGATATATATATGTATATATATGAAATGCTTATGTCGATGGAATGCAAAAAACAATTTTTTTTTTAAATTTCTGCCTCTTTGCCGAGGGCAATGACCAAGGCCCTCGGCAAAGAAGGGTCCTTTGCCGAGGGCCGTCCCATTGCCCTCGGCAAAGATCCATTGGAAAAATTCTGGAACATTTCTTTGCCGAGGGCCATGGTTGGAGGCCCTCGGCAAAGACTTTTTTAAAAAAAATTAAAATTTCTTTGCCGAGGGCCTTCGGGGAAGCCCTCGGCAAAGATTTTTTTTTAAAAAAAGAATAATTCTTTGCCGAGGGCCGTCCCATTGCCCTCGCAAAGATTTTTGGAAAAATTCTGCAACATTTCTTTTCGAGGGCTATGGTTGAGGCCCTCGGCAAAGATTTTTCAAAAAAAAAGAATAAATCTTTGCCGAGGGTTTCGAGGCGGCCCTCGGCAAAGAAAAATGATAAGCATAATTGCTTTCTTTTCTTTGCATGTCTGGCCCTCGGCAAAGGATTTGCCGAGTGTCGATGCCTCGGCAAAGGACTAAAAATTCCCGATGCAGCCTCGGCAAAGGCTTTGCCGAGGGTTTCTGATCCTTGCCGAGGGGCGAGGCCCTCGGCAAAGAATGCGAGTCCAGTAGTGTTGTATACTTGTGCTCGCACATGGTTTGTTTGTTCATGTGCAGGCTTGAGGCAGAATATGGTCGGTGATGGATTGGAACTAGGCTCAGGAGGAAGTAAGGTTTTTGGACTAAGTTCAGGGGAAAACTGAACTCCTCTTGGTTAACGATGTCATGTGACATGTTCAGGTTAGAGAACAGTCCATAAAAAGACTTGCTGATGTACGAATTACTTTGTGACTCAGTGTTAGCGTGTTAAAATGGAAGCCAGCAAGAGATTTAAAAAAATCATACTGCAGATGATGATTTATGAAAATTTTCGTAGTGAGGACGGTGATATACGAAGGATTGTACTATACATATGATGTATGAAAAAATACACGCTTCTGATAGAGAAGTATGAAAAATTCCATACTGCGGATGGTGATGTATGAAAGATCATACTATTTAAGCAAAGAAGGAAGTCAGTCATCAAAAATCTCCAGTCAACTTGACACACTCACCAACATTTTCTCGTAAACAATGTCTCGCATAATTTCATTGCACGACTGCACAAAGAATGATGGTTTAACCATGATCAGAATATTTGACACCACACTCAAAAGGAGAATGAAGAAAATTCACAGCTTGGTTGTCATGCTGATAATGCTACACTATCAGTTAACATTGCGACCTATTAAAAAGTCAGAACAACATGAAAACGGTAAAAAAAAAAGGAGCAACAATTAGCAGCTAGTGGTCACCCGATGGAGGCAAGCTGCTACGATAGTGATGAAGAAAGAAGTGTATGCCCACCTCTGTACTTGTGTCGACAGGGGCAATGGCAACATGCACTAGTTGGTTTACTTACATGATCATATGCATGGCATAACTTGCAAAAAAGCCAATGAGAGGGATCAAGATGAGGAGTTCTCGAGAACCCCAAACATGACAATCTATCCAACATGTCGAGGGCGAACAAGGTCGTATAGAATAAGAAGGGAGCATTCCATTAGTAATTGTTATGGTAGAGGCAACAACCATCAACAACATGTCTTTGCTACCGTCTTGATGCAAGTGCATCCGCTAACCCCCACGACAGTGCATGAGTAATATGGAGGAGGGTTCAAGAGAAGGCACGCCATAGCAATCGATCCGTCGAGCATGTTGAGCACCAGCATGGTCATGTGCTGGGTACACATACTACGTGGGCGTGCCTATGCTTGCCGATGTCACAACTGTCATGACCCAACAGTGCTTCCATCTTGAACTTTCCAAAAACACCCCTTGAAGCCTGAAACTCTAACCAACTCTTCCTTGAACCCTGACCAAAACCCCTACTACTGTCACAATGCACTTGGATTATGAGTCTTCATCAACCGTGTCACGAGGCTGTAGCCTCTTTTAGCTCTTCTCTAGCAATGGACAGCCTTATCAACTTAATGGAAAACATTACATCTATCTCTTGAAGGACAAGAATCCAAAATTCAACTCTTAAACCCCATGATCTACTCTAGTCAAACCAAGTCAAGTAGTGTCAACCTTGGTCAACTGGATGGCTGACTTAGACAATATTCTGAAGATCATCACCTGGGAAGTGATATCTGATGCTCAAAAGGTTTCTATAAAACTTACAAAATATATTAAAGGCCCCAATTCCAATCTCTCCTCTCCAAATCCAAGATCCCAAAATTCATGTTCTGCCAGATTGTCTAGCGACTTGAGGGACTGTTCGCTAGAACAGTGAGAGAGCAGAACTAGTATAGATGAGCTATCCTCTTCAACCTCCCTTGGCCCCACCTATTAGCTCGAAATAGAGTTTCCAGATGCCTAGTTCATCTCTCTCCCCACCTCACTCACTCACTCTGATCCTTCCTCTCTCTCCAAGGTGAAGAAAACAAGAACTACACAGAAAGGAAGAGAAAGAAGAGAAGGAAAAGAAAAAGAAGAGAAGAAGATCACGACAACCGTCTCAAGGGGAAGATGCAGATCACCACCTTTATCTTCATCCTTGGGTGAGCTCAAGAAATACCCTTCTCTATTCTTCCCAAATGCCAACCCAAACCCTAGTCTTTGGTTTCACCTTGCATGAGTTGAAGATGAAGGTTGCTAACTGCTCAATCCATCTCAAGTGTAAGCTCTACCTCCCTCTCCCTCTCCATCATCTCATGAATTTCTCAAATTTCACTCTAAATGGAGGTGTATGTGTTTTTGCAAGGAAATTTTTATTCTACTCAAATCCATCTCTCTCACTTGGAAGCAAGAAGCAAAAAGATATGAGCATGGTCATGGTGGCCCAATGGTCACTCATGCATCAAAGTTATGTTGCAGATATTCAAGTTCATGAACTTCTCCCTTTTTATTCAAGTTTGATTTAATCCTTAACCACAAGCTTCATCCTCCAATCGAAGACCAAACCTTAAGTTGCACAACCCTAGTACCTCACCCAAACACTCCTAGATGATCACAACACATCCCTGGGAAACATCACCCACAAACCCTAGCTCCAAACTCAAGAACACCAAGAACACATAAACCACATATGTTCTATTGACGTTCTGATAGACTATCCAGGAGAACTCTAGATCATCTTTGGGATCATCCACATCCAGCACAAATCAAGTGCATGCTTGGACGGTTTCCTTGAACTATCTGATGTTTGCGCGGAGCATCCGGAGGAACATTGGGACGTTCGCAGGAATATTGAGCCCCCAATCGAGAGAACAGCCCTCCCTTCGGGATTGCACCCACGGTGTTTGGGTAAAAATCATGAATATTTTATTTCTACAAACCCTTGACCCTAAACACAACCACCCTAGCACATAATTAGATATACCTACTTGTACAAAACTATTTCACTCTTTGATTCATCCAATGAGCTCTCTAACTTAGATCACAAGTTGATATCTGTTATCACTCAAGTTCATCGACCTTCCTGAGCAATCTCAACTCAAATCTCTCAACACATCTCCTGCAGGTTAGGCAATGGTGTAGATATGCGTATGAGTTGTCATGATCACCCTTGATCACTGGGATTTCATGATAGGTAGGCACCACTACTAATAACCCTACTTTGGATACTCATATATATATTCATGAAGTGTTGCATTCCATTCTAATATTGCTTAATCAACTAAGTATGACTCGCTACAGTAAGATCAACTCACTTAAGAAAATATAGCCCTTGTACTATTAATTGGTTTTGGGACATTTAACATGCTAAGCTAGCTAGAACTAGTCACTATCGGAAACCGGCACTTTGCCGAGTGTCGGAGGCTTTGCCGAGTGTATTTTATCGGGCACTCGGCAAAGACGGTCTTTGCCGAGTGCCAAATAAAATACACTCGGCAAAAAAAAACACTCGACAAAGATGACTTTGCCGAGTGTTTTTTTTCGGCACTCGGCAAAGATGTATTTTGCCGAGTGCCATTTTTTGGCACTTGGCAAAATGCCTCTTTGCCGAGTGCCTTTTTTCTAGCACTCGGCAAAATGGTTCTTTGCCGAGTGCCTTTATTCTGACACTCGGCAAAGATGTATTTTGCCGAGTGCCATTTTTTTGGCACTCGGCAAAATGCGTCTTTGCCAAGTGCCTTTTTTTCTGGCACTCGGCAAAGAGGCATTTTGCTGTGTGCATTTTTTTGGCCCTCGACAAATCATTTTTTCGAATCAATTTTTGAGGCCCTAAATGAATTCAAATGAAAAAAATTTCAACTACAAAGTTGTATAACTTCTCAAGATCTACAAAGTTTATTTTGATCATTTCTTCATTTGACAAAGCGACAATAACGTTGTTCATAAAATCTACATCTCTCTCATATCTCTCATATTAGTTTCATGAAAGTAGAAGAGAGAGATATATAAGATTTATGAACAATGTTACTACCACTATGTCGGATGAACAAATGACCAAACTAAACTTTGTAGATCTTGAGAAGTTATGAAATTTTGTAGTTGACAACATTTTGATTTGATATCATCTTGTCATGCAAAATCGACATTTGAATTTGAAAATTTTAAAATTTGAATTTTTCAAAAGACCTCGGATGGAAAAATTCCTAAATGAAAATTGTAGATCTCCAAAAGTTATGAAACTATGTAGTTAACAACTTTTTGATTTGAAATCATCTTATCATGTAAAACTACGTTTGAATCTCTAAAATTTAAAATTTGAATTTTTCAAACGACCTCGTAAGGAAAAACTTCCTAAATGAAAATTGTAGATCTCCAAAAGTTATGAAACTATGTAGTTGACAACTTTTTGATTTGAAATCATCTTATCATGCAAAACTACGTTTGAATCTCTCAAATTTAAAATTCGAATTTTTCAAATGACCTCGGATGGAAAAACTTCCTAAATGAAAATTGTAGATCTCCAAAAGTTATGAAACCATGTAGTTGACAACTTTTTGATTTGAAATCATCTTATCATGCAAAACTACGTTTGAATCTCTCAAATTTAAAATTCAAATTTTTCAAACGACCTCGGATGGAAAAACTTTCTAAATAAAAATTGTAGATCTCGAAAAGTTATGAAACTTTATAGTTAACCACTTTTTTATTTGAATTCGTTTAGGAACTCAAACAAGCAATTTACTCTCGGTTTAGTATAATATATGAGGATAGATAACGGAATTTAGACACAAGTGACAATGTAGTGCAGCAGACACGTGAGGGAGAGGTCGTGAGTTTGAATCCCACCGGCCGCGTTAGCCGCGAATTTAGCGCAAAAAATACACCGACTTCGATGAAGACGGGCGGGCGTTGGCTGGTGGCGGCCTCCCCCGAATTTTTTTTTTTTAAAAAAATTTGCTATTATTTTTGGGTTTTTTTTCGCATTTTCATTTTGCCGAGTGTAAATCTTTGCCGAGTGCTTTTCCGACACTCAGCAAAGGCTTTGCCGAGTGCCCGACAAAAACACTCGGCAAAGCTTCTTTGCCGATTAATTCTTTGTCGAGTGCAGCCCTTTGCCGAGTGTATTTCGGGCTTTGAAATTCCAGTAGTGAGTAGAAGCCGAGTGTGAGTGGGAACTCACTCTAGCGCTTGGTTCATTGGGGTTAATCAACACTAAAACATGCAATTGGATCTAGCTTGACTTAGACTAGTAATTTTCTTAAGGATCAACCTTTAACTGGACTCAATTGTGAATTTGATGGATGCCAAAGATGAGCCCATCTGTCGGAGTGGTGCGGGCGTAGTGTAGCAGAGGCTACCTACGTACCTATCAACAGGGATGAATGGTACAACTGAGTAGCTCTGAGCAT